ACAAATCACGTTTTAGATATAAATAAGAATCAAATACTTATTTGGTAAAATATATGAATAGACATAATCAAGTGTATGACACTTGTCTATTTTGAAGTAAAAGAAAAAGATATCTTTACAATCCAAAAAGAAGGATCAATATGTAATTCTTGAAAAGATTTTTACATGGGTAATAAAAGTTAAAAGAAGAGAACAATAAGGTTTATTGATACTAAATACTATAGAATTGATGTGACAAAATAAGTTTGTTTTTTGTTTTTTGTTCTTGAATTTGTTTTAATAATAGTCCATTCTTGCTGATTGTGGATAAGTTGGTGTTAATGGTGTTTGACGATAATAAGGTACGTCCACTTGATCAATATCTAAATATAAAAATTATTAATTTTTATCATAGAATTGTTGTTTAAAGTTAAAACAAAACAGAATCATGCCGACATCACACCACCTACAAGGTTGTCGAACATATATTGTCATACTCGTTCGCTTACGAGTTGGAGGTTCTCAATAGAAAAAATAAATAAATAAATAATACAAAACTATGATTTCACTATGCATTGAACCACATATTTACCTAGTTTTGATGGCCAATCATCAGATGAAATACGATTTTCTCGTTCTAAAATATACATAATTAATTAATTAATTATTTAATTATAAAATATAGTATTTACGCATAGAATTTTCATCATGATGTTTAGAAAAATTTGATGTTAGATAATCATTATTGTCTGTTTTTTTATATAATTGATGATGACGATTAGTTGATGATGGAATATATTGAATAGGTATCATTCTTGATGATGAATTATTCCATGTTTGATAAATAATAGGCATATTACGTCCTAATCCTGATTTTAATTTTAAAAAATCATTTTCAAAACGCCAACGAATTCGATCAAAAAAAAATGGATCATCAAAATCCCAATTCCATGCAAGTGATGGACATGAAAAATCTCGTTCAATTAAACGAGTACTTAATGGACGATCATCAATAAAATTACGATAACGATATAAAGAATTATAACTATTATTACCACTTGTATGATATGAAGATGAACGAGAATAATTTGATGATGAGCGAGATTCTTTTGAATAACTTCGCGTTGATAATGACATATCAATATAAAATAAGATTGTTGAAAATAAAAAAAAATCTGATAATTAAAAAAAAACAAAAACAATAAATCAAAATCATAAGAAATAAAATTCTCTATCAATTTATAAAACAAGTAAGTGTCTGATACACAGAGAAAGATCTAGATAAATATAACCTTCATATTAACAGATTGCATTTGTTTGATGATGATGATGGTATATCATTATCAAACAAGTGTGCCATCGGCATGAGAAATGAATGGGAGAAAGAGACAAAGAAAAAAGAGAGTAGAACATATTATTTTCTCTTTCCAAATATACTAACCATATTGCTTCCTTCCTCAAATGAGAACGTGTCCTGCGGTTTAGGGATTTTTCTGAGAAAAGCAGCCAATACAATCATCAATAATCGACAGAAAAAATATCAAGACAAAAACAACGACAACAACTACCACACCTTGCACCATATTGATGATGACTTGTTATTCTGCTTTTGTCATCTTCAATTGCTAATACTACTTTTTTTTTTTAAACAATATAAGAGTAATAGATATAATAAATAATAAAACAGTAACAGCTGAAAGAATAGCAATATTATTATTTTTAATAATAATACTGAAGGTATTACATATAGAGAATTCCAAATGAATACATAACAAAAATAAGCATATCAATTAATTGCAAAAGAAAGCAATTATTATAATCGGACAGTATTAAAATGACAAAATCTTTATTGAACAATCGGCCAATTATCCTTACAATCATTAAAATTTAAATAAGAGAAAAAAAAACCTTTAAATATCCATGACATGTCCTTGACAATAATAGTGCAAGCAGAAGGGTACAGAATGATCTATGTTCTCATCATCATACAAAATGACAAAGATACCACCAAAATAACATCAATATAGCACGAAGAGATGATCAGAAAATATCAACGTTCTCTTTGTTTTTCCAGATATATTTGTATAATGCTGTATACTATCACGACTAATGACGTTATATTAATCTCTTTTTATTAACGTCTTCGAAAAATGGCTTATTTTCGTTTATCTTTTTTATCTTAAATCTCTACTGAGTTTAAATCTATTTTTAATGTAAATTTTTTTTTTTTCTTTTTTTTTTAATAAAATATTTTTTGTGAAAATAATTTTTAAAATAGAATAAAACGAAGAGAAGAAAAAAAAAATATGCCCTTTAAATTAATTGAATCAATATGGAGTAGATTGAGAGATCATTTGCATAAAACGACACCTGCTTGTTTTCTTATTATTAATAATATATACATAACGACAGGCGTCATTTAAACTCGTGCCTTTGACATACCATCAAGAAAAATATTCTCACTATATGTGTTCTATAGGTTGACAAATAAATTTGAAATTAACTTAAAAGCTTTCATAACATCAATAATTTAGATCATTTTTATTTAAATCCCCCCGGAAGAGAAAGTCAAAGACATTCTGTATATTTTAATATCCATTGTAGATCGTATTTCATAGACATTGAAGAAAAAAAACATATAAACACAAAAAAAACTATAATCATAATAAATTTATTAAATTATCACAATCTCATCGCAAAAAATGTTTTGTGCATGTCACACTCTGTTTTTTCTTTTTATTATAGGTCATATTCTGTATTCTTTGCACGTTCCAGTCTGGGTTTGTTTTTTCATTTTTATAAGAAAACATTTTCTTCCTGTATAAATATGTCGTATTCATCATATCAGTTACATTACACTTCTTTTTTTTTTGTATTGATACAAATCTATACTGTTCCATATTTCAATAATAATTAACTTGAATTTTATTCTATATTTCTCCTGTACATAATTAATGATAGTAATTATGATAATCACGTGACCATTAAAAGTTAACTCCTACATTTTTTTTCCTCTTGATATTTCAGTTCTGGTAAGATGCATAATGAATACTTTGAATTATTGTTATTGCGTCGTTGTTTCGACTCTATTAATTCTTGTCGAGATTACCTTTTTTTTCCGGTTTTTAATAAAAAGAAAAAGAAAACGAGGATATTCTACAGGTTAAAAAAAAAGTTAATCATAAAGAGCGATAGTAATAAGGAGCTCATTAGTAACGATGAAAAACAATTGCCATATCATCAACACTAGAAAGAAAAAACTGACTGCAGAGAAAGAAAAGACAAAATGTTACTTCCGGGATAGATAATAATTATAATCACTAGAAAGAAAACAGAAAAAAAAAACAAATGACGCACCTCGATTGTTTAGTCTTATGGTTATTGTGAGAAAAATATAATTACTTTGTTATAACTACAAAATATATTAGTCCGATAAATATTCGATATGATAAGTATTTCATAGATAATAGACTATTTTCTATATCCATTTATACATCGTTTTTCTTTATCTGATTATAAAACATGAATTCCAACTCATTATTAGTTGTTACTTTAAGAAAAAAGATCAACGTGACTAAAAGATTAATTTTGCTTACTAATGATAGCTTCTAGTTATGCACTATCTGTAATACCAAATATTTGAGATTAGTTACTGATGCAAATGATCATGTTATTTCATATATGTAATTATTTTTAGCTCAAAAACCTCCGCATTTTTTTTTTCTTAATATCTTGAAGACTTTATTACATTAGAATTAAAATAGAGGCCTTCAGCATATTAGAATATATATATATATATATATATTGATGTGTTTAGTTCTTTCAATATAATAAAATTCCGATAGAGAATATATGTGTAATACTATCGACTAATAAAATAGATGTAAAAGAGTTAAATATCAAGAAACAAAACTAAACATAATTAAACTGGAATAAAACATGACTATTTTTTTTTTGTGACTTTAGTTATAAATATGTAGTAAGTAGTATTTGAAAAAATAATTGAAGTAGTTTTTCTTTTTGTAATCATCAAAAGTCACATTGACTAATTGCGTTGAAAAATCTTGGAACAACTGCTTAATCGTTAGAATTTTAAATAGGAATATATATTTTTATCAAAAAGATGAAATAATATTTATAGAATATATTCAGATGAGAAGTTATGATGACCTTAACATTTAAAACATGAATTAAATTCATCTTTTCATTAGAAATATTAAATATCTATGATATTTATAACTAAATATTCTATTATACTTCATTCTAATTTATTTTTATTTTTAATTTCTTGATGTTTTTTATTTTATCACATATTAAAAAATCATGATATTTTGTTATAGAACTAAGTTGTCTATAAATAAATCCTAGAATTTATTTTTTTTTTCTATAAGCTTAAGCTCTTTGTAATCTATATAGAAAGAAAATGACTGCCATAAACATAGAACTATGTCTTTTGTCCTTTCAAATGGAAAATAATTTTGTTTATGATTGAGTGCATAATTAAAGGAAGTAACGTCATATGATGAATATAAACCAACACCTTTCTTACTTTTTTTTTTTTTTATATATTAAATGTCAAGAAAAATTTATATCTGTAGAATCAAAGGAAAAATTACCGATATTAAGTTACTGTTGTTTCTTATGATTATAATTTTAAACTAAGCTTGAGTTCAACATTGTAAGTGTTGTCCTTCAACTAAACAAAGGTAGCAAACATAAGAATGAACGTTTAACTACAACTGAAACTAAATCAATTTTTGCTATGAATATCTTTTGGGATGAGATAAGTATTTTGTTTACGATATTGTAATATTAATATGTAATCATTATTGTATGATCACTGATTAAAATCAGATAAGAGAAGATATGATCGTATTATCCTAGAAAATTGAATATGACTTTTCTCCTTTATAATCTAAGATAATAAAGAAAGAAAAATATGTTCTTAGCAAAAGAAGATCATTTCTTTTATTGTTGATTTTCTAAACTATGATGAATTTTTTTTTTTTTTTGAATTTTAGATGAATAATTTATCAACATCAGATAATTTAACAATAGCTCAACATGAAATTGATGATATTTGGCATAATATCAATAAGTCAACATCAGATCATGTTTCTTATTGGATATTAATTGCAAGTTTTATATTTGCTATTTTTGGTTCAATAAGTAATTTAATGTCGGTTATTGTTTTACGTCGTTTAAGTAGTCAATCATCAACATTTGTTTATTTAACTGGTTTATCTTTATCAGATATGATTACATGTGTATCAATAATGATGACACATATGATTGAATTTATTGTTCTAACTCGTCGAACTACATCAATAATAATATTTCTTCTATATATTGATATTATTTTTGGTGGATTAGCTGCTGGTAGTCGTGTATTATCATTATGGATATCAACAGCAGTAACAATGGATCGTTGGATATTAATTTGTTATCCAATTTATGGTAAAACATTTTGTACATTATATCGAGCAAAAATTATTTCACGAACATTATTTATAATAGCATTTCTTTATTCAATTCCATTATTTTTTGAATATGAAGTTGTTCAAATGTCAAATGTTTATGCTATGATTGATTTTAATAATGAATCATTATCATTATTAAATGAAAATATTCAACAAACAAGTATGCTTATTAGAAAAGGTTATAGTGATTTAGCTAAACGAAGAATTTTTCGTTGGTCTTATATGTTTTTTAATTGTATATTTGTTTATATAATACCAACAATAACAATTGTTTGTTTTAATTTACAATTAATTCGTGCTTTACATCGTGTTAAATCTCGTACAAAACTTTTAAAAAAAAAACATCATAAAAATGTAATAAATCATCGTTCTAAACATTCTTTTCAATCAAAATATTCTATAACAATTATTATTATTGCTATGGTATTAACATTACTTATATGTCGAAGTCCAACAATTGTTCTTTGGGTTTTATGGTCATTTGAATTAACAATAAAAAAATTTTTTGATTCAACATCAAGTTCAATTGTAAGACGTTTTCATAATATAGCAAATTTAATTGCAATTATAAATGCAGCAACAAATTTTTTACCATTTTGTGTATTTGGACAATTATTTCGTACTGAATGTATAAATATATATTGTTGTCGAACAATAACAAATGAACAATTATTACAACAAAAAATAAGAAAATATAGTGGAAATTCTCAATATATACTAAATAATCAAAGAATAAAAAAATATGACAAAATTCAACAACGAAAAATAATTGAAAATGATAATTTACGAAATACTTTATTATTAAATTCTGAAACAACATCATCATTAATTCATTCAACATCAATTAATTCTTCAACACATATAGTTAAATTATGTGATTCACCATTTCATATTTATAGTCATGTACAACAACCTTCGAAAATATCATCAGTTACAACACCATTATTACAAGAAACAATTGGTCTTTGATTTTAAATATAATAATTAAATTTATATTTTATGAAATTATAAGTTTTGTAGATTAAATAAAGGTTATATTTTCAATATCATTCATTGTTAATTTAGTTAGTCAGATAGATTGAAATGGATTTTTTCTATTTATAGTTCTATTAATCGAATTATTCTCTAATAGATTCAATAGAAGTAAATGGAAAATCAAACTTTATATGATTATTTTGCTGAAATATTATTTATGAGGAAATTATACATTTTTTTTATTTTCTTTTTTTTCTTCATTAAATATGTCTTTCGATGTATTTTTAGTCTTATAATTAATTAAATATCTATTTATTAAAAATTCAATATTCTTTTTCAAATAAAAACTAAATTTACAACAAATAAGTCCTATTTTAAGTGACATTGTTCGTAATTTTCCTCATCATAGATTTAAGTAGAAGAATTACATAGAGTCTAGAAAGGTTTTTTGAATTCAACCAAAGAATTATGAGCCATTCCATTATACTTAATACTAATGCATTATTTAGCTCTGGATGTGTGTTGGAAAGAAATATTTGCTATTTCAATGTGTATACTCATAAATAAAGAATACTCGTTTGTAGCCAAAAATAAAACCGTACCCAGACTTATATCCGACCAGACCTGACAAATCTGGATCCGAGCCTTTTTCTTTGAAAATTTTCTACTATAAAGGTGTATGATGTATTTCTACTTCTATAGACTGAAAGAGCAATCATTTCACTACAAAACGCATGTTTGAATAATGCATCAGTATTCGAGATGATGAATTAGTTTATAAGTCTTTGATCGAATCCAGAAAAATTTTCTGGACTCAATGCAACTCTCTAGAATTAAGAAAAAACGATATTTAAATTTATATTCGATACAAAGTAATGATATCGGATAATATGTTATTCGAATGAAAGATTTAATATTGTCGTTCACGTGAACATTCAATGAAGTCTTATTAAATGAACGTGAATGTCTCTGTTTAACATGCACGTTTGTTCATCACGTGTACATCCTGATGATAAATAGTTCAACAGCAGCGGACAATAGAATCAGTCAAGAGAAAGATATTAAAGATTAATGGAAAAATGCTTCATCTCACATAAAGTTATACATTCAAAGAAAAAATGAAAAGAAAAAATATAAACATACAATTATCATTTGATTCAAGCAAAAAGCATTATTTTTAAAGAGAAATGTTTTAATTCATTTCTGCTAGAAAATCTGTTTTGGACAAAAAGAAAAAAATGAAAAAAATTTCCTTAAATCTTTTTCATATCCCTCTGGAAATGTAGAAATGAATAAAGTATTTTTTCTGAAAAATATTAGATATTTCCTGAAGAAAATTCATTTCAACTAAACATCCTACTTAAGGGAAGAAAAGAAAAATGATGAATATCAGCTTCTGTCATTGAAATTACTATTTCCTAACGAAGAAACCTTTGAAAGCTTCATTTTTTTTGCGGATGATGTATTTTCTATAACGTCAATGAGCATAAACTATATTTGCTATTGTATTAAGAAAGTTTATTTCCTTGAATTTGTCGAGAAAAAATGAAGCATTTCTACTGGAAATACTTCGATTTTCCTGTTTTTTTGGTATATGGTGCAGTCTTTCTTTATTCATATTAAAAAAATATTCTATATGTTTATTATCAAACAAACTTTCAAAAATATAGTTTTCAAAGAATTAAAATTGTTTATTTCTTCGATAGATTTAATTCATGTAAAAATCTATGTGGAAAGAATAGCATTTCTTATAGAATCTGACATATCACAACTTTATATATAACGTACCGGAAATGTAAAATTAAAGCAGATTTGTCGTTTTTTTTTAATGGTTAGATAGAGTATGACGAGTTAATTAAGTTCATATGTGTTTTCATTTTTTTGAAATGAATTTTTAGATGAAAAAAATTTCGGTTTTTTTTTGGATGACCTGTTTTTTCTGAAAAAGAGATCATTTTTCGATCACAGATAAATTGACAATTTGACACGTATCAAAAATTAACGTCTTTTTAGAAAAAGTAGATCGTCGAAAAAAAACAGTCATTTTTTTCCTAGAAATTCATTTACAAAAAGTACGAACACATATGAACTCGTCAAGCTCTATGTAACTATATAAAAAAATTCTACTTTGATTTTCCATATTTGGCATTCTCGGAATTATAAAATTATTGTGAACATCTTTCAAAAGTAAAACACATCATTAAAAAAATGTTCTAGTTATTTTTTATCGAAAACAAATCTGATAATAATGATTGTTGTGTCTTGACAATATGACTTTTTATCAAAACTCTAACACAATCGACCTTGACATTTATCTATCTATCATAAAATTTGATATGATCAGCATGTTTTTATTCTTGACATTTCTAGATGTAATCTTCTATTGATTAATTAATAATGACATTCTAAAATAATCTTTCGATTAACGAAATTTCAACAATATTCATGATTTTCAACTTTTAATGAAACTATATAAATTTTAAATGTCTGTACATTTAGCATTAATGATTGAATCGATAACAAGCACATATTTAGCAGAAGATAATTGCTTGAGAAAAAAAAAGTAAGAACAAAAAGAAAAAAGTCAATAACGACTTTTCTCATACATTCGTTCATGCACTCAGTACAGATTCAGCCATAATAATAATAAGAAGAAGACGATAACAGGTGCAACGGAAAAAAAAAGAAATTCAGTATCATATATGTGTGCGTAGAGAAATAGAAAAAGGCACCAAAAAATGGGTCACCACACAGCAAAAAAAGAAAAAAAGAAGTAAAAAATTGCACGCCAAATAAGATAATACAAAAAAAAAAGATGAAGTAGAAGAAGAAAAAAAGAAGTTCATTAATTTGCAATGAATGAATCTGACCGACAAGAGAAAAAGGAACAAATAGAAATCCTCTTGTCTCTATCATTCTCGATATAAGCTCATCATTCAAGAGGTTGATCACTATCATCTTCATCTTTAAATGAAAGAGATTGAGATGATAATGTTGAATTACCACTACTAGTCACTTGTTGTTGTTGTTTAAGTAGGACACTGTTCGTTTGTTGTTCATATATAACGCCTTTTCTAGTATTATTATTATTATTATTGTTATTTAATTGATCGATTTCATCATTATGTCCAATATGTACTTGATGACGAAAATTCATTGGTGCTGATATAACAGCTTTATTTGTTGTTGTATTCGTTGTTGATAAATCCGATGCAAATGTTGAAATATCTGATGGACCAATATGTCTTTAAAAAAAAATTCATTTTTATTAAAAACTTGTCAGTGCTGTCCCATGAGAGAGATCAACGTGTGAAACTCATAAACTTTGACTACTATAAATTTATGATACAATCGTGAACAAAAATCCGCCTTCCCTCGGCTTCCATACATGCAGAAGGTCTGGAAATTTGTGTACACATATTCTATGAAGAATGTATGTAGGTCAGAAGCATCAGGTTGTCATAATAGCTTAAATCCAACGAGACTTACATTGGATGGTACCTATTTTTGCTTCAAGCTTTTTAACTTGAAAAAAGCTGTCTATTACATTTTGCGTTACTTTTTTTATCAAATACATGATTAATTCTTAATATTTTTATTTGCAACCGCAGTCCCCTATATAGTCTTTCGTCACTTAAAAGATCATGTAACTTGCTGTCTCTAAATGTCATTGAGTCCTCGGTACCAACACGGTAATTATTGGTATGCTGTGTCCCTTTAGAAGAAGGTTCTCTTCTGAAATTTGTAGGCAAAGTTTTCCTAAGAGTTTGTACTTGATTTTTTGAAGTATCACCGAGTTATGGTCTACAAAGTGCATCAGGAGAGCTTTTCGCCCTGCAAATAGGCACAGTAAAATAACCATCGTTCTAGTAAAGATTTATAGACTCCGATGAAACTAATAGCGTGGATAGTTAGAACATAATCATAAATAATGAGAGACCAATCGATCTATAGAACCTTTTCTAATCAAAATTATAATAATTTTTATAGTTCATACGCGCACTCTGAAATTTTATTTCCAAAATATTTGCATTTAGAATTTCTATTCTATCAATTTATTAGTTCATTATACTGAAAGAATTTCTTTCTACTGTCATATACATCTTCAATAGATAACTTCTTTTCTCCTAATGATAATAACATATGATATATGCCTTAGGAAGCGGCAACTATTATTTTATTCTTCATTTCATCGGTTTAACTACCATATTAGCCTACTATACAAATTGATTTAATTGTTTACTAAACTTCCAGGTACAACATCGTTTCTTCTCGATGAACTTTTGACATATATTATTGAGTTTTATCTAGCCGTAGAATTTTCATTAGTTCATACTTTTCTATTTTCATCTCAGAGATAAACGAAGGCCTATCTCGCATTCTAACGCATGCTCGCAAATCTCCATGGAGTACATGTTGCGCTTTCTCATGATTCTATTCGTGCTGAAAGAACATCGAAGAAACGATTTCACACTTTTGAACGTATTCACTGAACAAGAAAAGAAAGAGGCGTGAGAAGAGCGTAAGCAGGAGCACGAGACAACCCAGTCTCATCGTGACTATGTTAGATTAATAATACTACTGCTTTACTGATTGACATCTACAATAAGATTCTTTCATGATAAATTCTAAAAAGTTTCAGAAATGGTCTAAGTACTGTTATTATTGACACACCTTTTTTCGTTACTAGAGCTTGACAACAAAAGCTACAAAACTCTAGATTTAAACTTACACTCAACTATTGTCTTCGAAAATAGATGTGAGTTTCACAAAAAACAACAACAAATAATATAAAAAATAATCAAACATACGTTAAATGAACAAAATTTTGTGGACCAGAAATAAGTGAACGTCGATTAGTAGTATTTAATGTTGAACCACTACTACTATGATTTATTGATGAAAGTGTACTTGTTGGACTAACTTGTTTTAAACCTGATATTATTTGTAAACCTTCACCTTTACCTAAATGTGATATATGTGTAAAATCTTTC